TTTACAATCTCTTGAAAGGGTAAATATGTAGGCTCAAAACTTGTGCACACCCTAAATCATGTAAAAAAAAAAAGTAAGTAGCCTACCACAAGTCGAGGGTTCATCCGAGCCATCCTCACAATCCTCCTGTCCGTCACATTTCCACGTTTCTGGTATACAACCTCCAACTGTACATTTAAACTCATTATCATGGCATTCATCAGGGGCTCGTGTAGCTGAAAAAACAAAAAATAATTATTTAAAATCATATTTGGACGAAATCATACCCCCTATAAATCCTTACTAATTCGTGATTTTTGCTTTTAGGTCTTCCCAGCAATCGTTTTCATGTCAGAGAAGATAGCCTGACTGAATAAAACATCATAAATTATAATCATCCAAAAATTTTATGCTAGACCACAAAGCGTCTCCTTACCCCCAAAATTTCAAAATGACCCCCAAGTTGAAATCCCCCGTCTTAGATTTTCAGAGAAGATAGCCTGACTGAATAAAACATCTTAAATTATTATCATCCAAAAATTTTATGCTAGACCACAAAGCGTCTCCTTACCCTAAAATTTTCAAAATGACCCCCCAAGTTGAAAACGCCTGTCTTAGGTTTTCAGAGAAGATAGCCTGACTGAATAAAACAACTTCAATTATAATCCTCCAAAAATTTTATGCAAAACACCCCCAAAATTTTCAAAATTTATCACCACATCAATAAACCCTGATTTTTACATTAATCGAAATCAAAAAGCAGTAGGCTATAATTTGAATTGCTGGTTTTCATGCTTTAATCGTATACTAACCACAATCCTCCTCATCACTAGCATCTGTGCAATCGTCAACTCCATCGCATTGATATTTCCGAGAGATACATTGTCGTACCGTTTTACAGGTCCAACGTCGACCAGTACAGTTTAAGGCTGGACAATCATACTCGTCGCTTTCGTCAAAACAGTCCAGACCTCCGTTACAAACTAAATGATCTGGTATACATCGTTTATTATCACATTGAAAAAATCCTGGTTGACATTTGTGGTTGGCTACAAAAAAACAGAATAATCAATTTGGGGATGGGTTGTAGCTCAGTAGGATAGAGTGTTGGAATATTTACATGACATCATTTGTGATTGATCTACAATTTTAACGGTATACATTTGTGGTTGGCTACAAAAAAACAGAATAATCAATTTGGGGATGGGTTGTAGCTCAGTAGGATAGAGTGTTGGAATATTTACATGACATCATTTGTGATTGATCTACAATTTTAACGGTATACATTTGTGGTTGGCTACAAAAAAACAGAATAATCAATTTGGGGATGGGTTGTAGCTCAGTAGGATAGAGTGTTGGAATATTTACATGACATCATTTGTGATTGATCTACAATTTTAACGGTATACATTTGTGGTTAGCAACAAAAGAACAGAATAATCAATTTGGGGATGGGTTGTAGCTCAGTAGGATAGAGTGTTGGAATATTTACATGACATCATTTGTGATTGATCTACAATTTTAACGGTATACATTTGTGGTTAGCAACAAAAGAACAGAATAATCAATTTGGGGATGGGTTGTAGCTCAGTAGGATAGAGTGTTGGAATATTTACATGGCATCATTTGTGATTGATCTACAATGTTAACAGCATACATTTGTGGTTAGCTACAAAAGAACAGAATAATCAATTTGGGGATGGGTTGTAGCTCAGTTGGATAGAGTGTTGGAATATTTACATGGCATCATTTGTGATTGATCTACAATGTTAACAGTATACATTTGTGGTTAGCAACAAAAGAAATACAATGTCATTTTAATAAAACTTGGTGAGCAATATAATCAAAATGAGAACAGGCTGTAGCCTAGTTGGTTAGAGTGGTGGAATATTTACTTGATGTCATTTGCTTGGTTATGTCGGAAAATGGTAGTCAACTAATGGTGGTCAGGAGTTCTAATCTCTGTCGGAGATATATCAGAAAAATATCGCGACTCCAGGTAAGATCACTTAAGGTGCAGGCACACGAGCGGTCTTGGTTGGAGATTTTTGTCGCTGATTAAGAGTCTTGAGTAAAATCTCACGTGTGCCCATGCTTCCTCGACAAGATTATCGCCATGCCGACAGGATTTATAATATCAAACAAGTTTGATAATTGTCTCTGATAGTTTTATCATCTGTAAGACAGACCGTCATCATCCAATCAGATTCATTTTCCTTTCAATTACATGCTCCAAATGACTGACTGGAGATTTTTGTCCTCGTGTGCCGCAGCCAGTCAGTGAAACTCTTGACGAGATTCTAGTCGACGACAAAAATCAGCGACCAAGACCATTCATATGCCCGCACCTTTAGGAATACATACTCTTATTGACCAAGTTTTAAAATTCACGTTCATTTTAAGAGAAAGTATTCCCTTAAAATAAGTTCGTTACAATTTGGCGTTAAATAACTACGTTAAATAAACTTACTACAAAATTCTCCCTCGTCCGAACTATCACCGCAATCATTATCAGTATCACAGACGAGAGCTTGAGATATACAAAGTGAATTATTACATCGAAATTCATCTGGACGACACGTCTTCTCCGCTGAAATTATACAAGATAGAGTTTTATATCCTACTCTTCTCCGCTAAAATTATACAAGATAGAGTTTTACATCCTACTCTTCTCCGCTGAAATTATACAAGATAGAGTTTTACATCCTACTCTTCTCCGCTAAAATTATACAAGGTAGAGTTTTACATCCTACTCTTCTCCGCTAAAATTATACAAGATAGAGTTTTACATCCTACTCTTCTCCGCTGAAATTATACAAGGTAGAGTTTTATATCCTACTCTTCTCCGCTAAAATTATACAAGGTAGAGTTTTACATCCTACTCTTCTCCGCTAAAATTATACAAGGTAGAGTTTTACATCCTACTCTTCTCCGCTGAAATTATACAAGATAGAGTTTTACATCCTACTCTTCTCCGCTAAAATTATACAAGATAGAGTTTTACATCCTACTCTTCTCCGCTAAAATTATACAAGATAGAGTTTTACATCCTACTCTTCTCCGCTAAAATTATACAAGGTAG